GTGTGATGAGTGCTTAAATGTGACATATTTTAGCACCTAAGCGATGGTATTTTAGTCCATTCATCTATCTTACTTTCATGTCTTGGATACTTATTTGCGTTTTTGTCTATTTCAGATCAATAAGGTTTAAACGGTCTAAAAATGGTCTGTTACAGCCTTTTTGAAGTCAAACAATGGTTCCTAGAAGATTTCAGAAAAATCCAGAAAAAGGTCAAAAATGCTGAAAATTTGGATGGATCGAAGATATTTTGGATCGATCGAAGTTTCGATTGATAAAAAATGTGCTAGTAGCGAGCTGTTTTATTCCCGTGCGTCCGAACTCCACCTACCACATAGTTGCGGGATTAGATTTTTTTGGGGCTATATTTCTGACTTAGTGACTAAGAAAATGACCTTTTATAAAGGGGGAATTGAACTATTTTGTAATATATCTTTTTGTCTTCAATTTTATTAGATTGCAATTTTATTTTCTCTCTCTAGAAAAGTTAGAGATTAGGGTTAGAAGAAAAGAGAAGAGTGGAGGCACCAAGAACACATCTCTAGATCTATATACACACTCTCTCTAGAATTCAACAAAGAAGAAGATGGAGCCATGTTTGGGGATTGTCCTTGAGGGATCTACGATCACACCCACCTCTTCCATAATTGGCTAGACTTCTCCTTGGGGTTTGGATGAACCCCAAGTTTGTAATCTAAACCTCTATCTTTTTCATACTTTTTGGGAAATAATATCTTGTGATTAGTGCTATAACCTTGTGAATAAAATGAATCTTGGTAATATTTCTATGATTTCTATGGTTTAATTCTTCCTATTAATTCTCTAGTTTATTTACATGTCTATGTGTGATTAAATTGGGAATTATGTCTTACATGATTCATATGGTTAAATTCTTCCTATTGATTCTCTTTATGATTACATGTTATCTTATGTGTGATTATTTGGGAATTAATCTCTATACTAGTTTTTCTATGTTGGTTACATGTCTATGTAGGATTAATTAAGGATTTAGTGATGGCTATGCATGGTATTCATTGAATGGGTTTGTCAATTAATTTAATGAATTATACTTATGCTTAATGGGTTGTTCTACAATTTAATTCATGCTTGTAGGTAGGTAGACAATCTTTACTTGATTTGGTATTCCATAGCTTATTATTGTAAATTTCATGATTCTCTAGATTGATGTGTGCTACAATTGTGACTAGTTTGATGGGTCATGCTTAGAATTGATAGGTTGTACTACACTTAGTTTATTTGTCGGTTAGGTAGACAATTCATACATGAATTTGATGGTCCATACTTAATATTGCAATTGGTAGTTGCATTTTGTTCACAAGAATGTTTTCCCCAAATTAGTTGAAAGTGTGTGGTTTGGTGAACAAGCTTGGTGGCAATTCCAATGCACCCCAAAACCTCACTTCTTATCTCTTAAATCCCTATCTCAGCTTATTTTATTTTAATTGCATTTTAATTAATTGAATTTTAGTGTAATCAAACAATCAATCTCTCCTTTGCAATCTTGTGATCCACTAGAGTTGAAGTTAAATTCTAACACGTATAATCCCTTGGAACGATCACTACTTACTCTTGCTACATTAATAATAGTGGTGGTAGTGGTTTTTATAAATTTAAACTTGACCTAAAAGGCTTTTCTTGAACCGCACATTCACTATATTATTTTGGTGTATACAAGCGGCCATCGTCAAAGGGGTAGGGGCAATTTAAGTGAATCCATTGCATCAATGGACGATCATATTGAAGACCTTGGTCATATAGACCAATAAGGTATACTCCATCCTAATGTACAACAACATGATAATATGCACATTCCTTTAGGTATGCCTAGACCTTTTGCTCTTCCACCACAAGGCCAAGTTCCAATTGGAATGCCTAGGCCATTCTTTGTGCCACCTCCACCTCTCATTGTCCAAGCTAACAATGGAGCTTGTGTAGAGCCACCAATTGCAAATCCTCCAATGGCTTTAAAAGATCATTATGTGTTTAATGAGTATAATGTATCTACATTCATTCAATTTCCTCCATTTAAAGCATATCATTATGAAATTAAGCCACAAACCATCCAAATGCTCCCGAACTATTTTGGGCTAACCAATGAGGAACTTTATAAACATTTGGATGAATTTCTTGAAGTTTGTTCCACCGTAAAGTATACGGACATGTCGGAAGAAGTTTTAAGGTTGAAACTTTTTCCCTTTACCCTAAAAGACAAGGGAAAGTACTGGTTTAATAATTTGAAACCTCTTTCCATAACTTCTTGGGCAGAAATGCAATAAGAGTTTTTGAGAAAGTATTATCCCATTCCCAAAACCAATGTCATGTGAACTTCAATATGTGAGTTTTCATAAAGGGATGGGGAGATGTTACATAAGGCATGGGAATGGTTAAATGATTTTCTTAGGAAGTGTCCCCATCACGACATTCTTAAGTGGCAAATAGTTCAACATTTCTATGAAAGTTTGTCGGATAACCATAAAGGCATGGTTGATGCCTCAATGAGAGGTTCTTATTTGGATAAACATGAGGATGATGAGTGGAGACTATATGAAAGCATGAGTGAAAACTCAATGCATCAAACATTGTCCTCTAAAAATGGTAGAAAAGCAAATGTAGGAGGAAGAAAGAATTCAAGCTTATATCAAATGAAAAATTCTAGTGACATAGTTGCTGAGGTGAAGTCTTTAACTCAAAGGTTTGATTAATTTTTGATCAATCAAAATTCGGCTCATCAAGTGTCTTCCTCCCTTCATTATCATCATTCTAGTGAGTCTTGCATGACATGTTTAAGTGTGTTACATACTACTTTCATTTGTCCCCATGGACATGTGCATTATAAGCATCATGAATAAATCAATGCCACATTTGTGAATCAAGGGAATAACCCTCATGGTAATCATTACAATCCCGGGTGGAGAAACCACCCCAATTTCTCTTAGAAAAATCAAGGGGAAGGTTCAAATCCTCCCCAAGGTAGTTTTCAAGGGAAGTATGTTCCACCTCATTTGCAAGGTCAAAATTCTTAAGGCTATCGTCCGCCTTATCAAGCTCCCAATGGGAATCAATTTTCAAATTCTCATTTTCCCAATCTAGGATGTGAAACGGGACGGGTGTCAACACTAGGTTGCACTGATTCACTCTCTTCATTAGAAACATCAACTTGATTATCAATCACCTTTCCACTTCTCAAAGTGGTCACCGCATTAACTTGCTCAAGTGAAGGATCTTCCATTGAGGAAGTTGTCTCTACTACGAATTGTTGCTTAGGTGGGGGATTAAGAGGCATTTTTCATTTTTCTCTCACATTCAATATGCTAGCTATTTACCTTACTTGGGTTTCTAGCTTGGAAATTAATTGTGAGTGAGAATGAACAATTGAGTGTTAGCCTCCAAGTACCTAAAACCAATAAAACTTTTTCCTCAAAAGCGGGACTTTTAGGATGACTTTGAGAATAAGATCCTCATTCACTTAGTACAAAGGACCCTATTGTTGAGAATTCTTTATCAAATGTTTTTGAAAAATCTTTTGAGCCAAAGGCTCCATTTTTGGATTCTTTGAAAGCATCCACATCTTTTGAAAAACAACAAAGCAAAGTGAATGAAATCATTGATGTGTTTCGGCAAGTTAAAATAAACCTTCCTCTCTTAGACGCCATTAGACAAATTCCGGCCTATGCCAAGTTATTAAAAGATTTATGCACTCTAAAGAGAAAGAACAAGAGCCAACCACCAAGGAAAGTTGTCCTTACCGAGCAAGTGAGCTATATTTTGTAACATAACACTCTACCCAAATTTAAAGCCCCTGGTTCACCCACTACATCTTGCATTATAGGTGACAATGTCATTAATCAGGCTCTTTTAGATTTAGGGGTGAGCGTGAATCTTTTTCCCTACTCGGTATATGTCCAATTGGGTTTGGGCGATTTAAAGCCAATGTCGGTAGTTTTGCAACTAGCTGACCGATCTATCAAAAAGTCCCGGGGTACAATTGAAGATGTTTCGATCAAAATTGATAAATTCTTCTTCCCGTTTGATTTCGTAGTCATTGACACGGAATCGGTTCCGAATCCAAAGAGCCAAGTGCCCGTTATCCTTGGCGGTTATTTCTTGGCTACCACCAATGCCAACATTAATTATAAGATAGGGATAATAAAGATTTCTTTTGGCCACATGAAAGTGAAGTTGAATATATTTAATCCAACCCCTAATTCAATGGACAAGCATGAAGAGATTTTTGCTGTGGAAAAAAGTTTTGTAAGCAAAGTTGACAAAAATAAGTTATCTCCTTCTATTGAAAAATCAAATGTTTTGCCTTTGAATCAATCTTCAAAAGATGTCGTTTTAAATTCCAATGTTGAAAGGGCATGGAAGCCCAAAAGTTTTTTTGATCAAAAGCCGTCAAGCATACTTAAATCAAATCCAACAATTTTCCTTTGGGAATGATTTGTTGGGTGGGATTTGAAGTTCAATTCACCCCGTTGAGAAGGGGATGTCTAATAAGATTTTTGATCCGGGCTAAAAGAATTCAACGTCTTGTTAGAGACATTAAACACTAATACTTCGTAGGGTTTTTCGACCCTATTCCTCCCTCATTTATTCTTTTGTTCTTTTCTACGTCGTCTAGATATGTTTTGAGTTGATCATTCAAGTATCGGGGCAATTTTAAGCATTTTTTTGCATTTTCAATGTCATCTTCGATCAATCGAAGACTCTTCTTTTATCGATCAAATTCTACAGATGCCCATTTTGCCTTGAAATTGCTCTCAGGATCTCATCATTTCGATCGATTGAAGTACTTTTCAATCGATCAAAGCTGTTAAACTCAGACTTTTCATCTTCCAGTTAATCAATCGAAACTGTTTCGATCGATTGAGAAATTTTTCGATCGATCGAACTTGTGTCAAATTCTTCCTTTTTTCCTTCGATGGATCGAAATAAGTGTTCAATCGATAGAAAAATTCTTTGATGGATCGAGATTATGTCTTTTCAAATTCTGAGAAAAGTACTCTGATCATTGGCCTTCCCAAACCCTAAATTTTTTATTATTATTTCTCTCATCCTTTTTCTTTTCTTTTTCTTTCTCTCCCTTCCTCTCTAACCCTCAGCCTCCCTCTATTTCTCTCTCCCCGAACCTCTTCTCTCTCAATCTCTTATAATCTCACAATCTCCCAACTCCCAACCTCTCACTCTCACTCCGGCGAGTATCAAACCCCAAGACCACCCCCCTTCGTCTCTTTCATTTTCGATGAAGCCCAAGGAGTTCCAAGCCTGCCGCCATTCTCCATTGATACCGGCGAACTCTTGGCCTTCGGCCGAGTTCATTCATCTCGAGCTCTCCAATCTCTCTATTCTCTTTATTATTTCGATCTCTGGTCGATTTAGGCCAAGGAGAGGCCGATTCAAACCGGCTGGATCTCTGCAACTTCCGGCGAGTTTCTGCAGATTCTGGTGAGTCCTAGGATTACCACTTCAGGCCACGGTTAGGCCGGAATTCTTGGTTTCATCCCAAAAATCTCTTTCTCCGTCTCCTCTTCTCATTTTCGAGTAGGGTATGTGAAAATTCATTCTTTTTGTTTTTTATTTTAATTTTTCTTTATTTTTAATTTTTTCAATTTTAGATTTATTTTCCTTTGAATATATGTTTGTATATATTTATGTGTTCAATCATGGAAACTGGACTTGAAAAATCAAAAAAAAAATGGAAAAAAAAAAAAAATATATGGATGGACTTGTGTACTGAAATGCACCTGTGATGATACTTTTGCACCGTGATATTAATTACTGTGATGTTGAAGCTGGGTACTTTGTGAATGGAGGATTGGGGCAACATTGAATGTTTGAAGTTTGTCTATTGCTGTGGAGTTTGGGCATTTTCACTTGAATGATATTTATGAATTTGTTTCATTTGGGCAGTGTGTATTAAATTCAAAGGAGGATAGGCTTACATATGGATTGTGTTGTGGGCTATGTCCCTTTTGATTTGATATGAATGAAGTATGGGATTTAAAATTTTATATGTTTAGATTTGATTTTGATTCCATAAATGTATGCTATTTTTGCCTTTGTTGAAAAATTTGGTGGCATGTATAATATTTAAGAGGAACTAATGTCAAATTTTTGCAAAAATAAACTTGGATTTTGGTTTTAAAATCTCTAAATGGCACTTGGTTATTTTTTTGGATTTAAATCGGAATTGAAAAAGAAGTTTAAAGTTGAAATTTTTGAGTTGAATTGAAAAATAAAACATTTTTCTTGGAAATTGTTTTGAGATTTTAGATTGTGAAGGGAATTTGGAATTAAATGTCATAAAATGGAAATGGTTGCTTTGTAATTGGAAATGGAAGCGGGATTGTAAAAATGGAATTGGTTTTAAAGAATTGAATTGAAATGGAAAATTTTAAAACTAGAATAATTTCTTGAAAATTTTGAAAATTGCAATGGCATATGAAGTTGAATATTGGGGAGCATGCCCCCGACTTGATTTCTTTTACTTAATGTGGAAATGCATGGATGTTTGTTTCTAAGTTGTTATAAATGCATGAAAGTATGACTTGAGTTTGAAACTTGTGCTTTTGAAACTTGAAAATGCAAAGTCAATGTAAAATGCATAAATGTGTTTCAAATGGAATCTCTTTGCAAGTTTTTGATCTTAATTGTTGATTGCTCATGATTAAGGTACATTGTTTTGGCAAAATGATTCTTGAATGTTTAAAATTACTTTGTGATCACACTTTTTGTTTTCGGAAATGTAAAAAGGATTTTTTGAACTTTGTTTCGAAAATGTGAAGTCGAGTTGCTTAATTCCTTCATTTGTTGAATATTCAATGTATGATTCTTGTTATGATGCTTATCTACAATGTATGTGAATGTTTTGGATCCCAAAGTTTTCAAAAATTCCAATTTTGACCCAAAGTGTTGAAAATTTTCAAAGTTGACCAAAATGCCCTTAAATGAGTTGAAACTTGTTCCGCTTGTTTTCTTTCCATCCAAATGCATGTGCTAAGTGCTATTAAACTTGTTTGTGCTCAGTTCTTGATTCTTGCCATGCTAGGGCATAAGTTTGATATCTTTTGACTCAACTTGTCATGATTTTGAACTTCCCTTGAATGAAGTGTTGATTTGCCCTTCTAAACCAAACTTTTTGAAGTCTAAGAGTCTAATGTTGCTAAATAAACTTGAAACTTGCCAAATGTGATCTTCTTTGAATAGTTGTGTGCATTTTGGAATAAATTGCAACTCGCTGCTTGTATATATACATTTTGCACACACTTTTGTCACATTGTTGGTTTTGAAAGTTTAGGTTCTTATTTTGAATAAATCCTTGCTGCATTGATCTTTGAATAAGTTTGGGGGAGGGAAATGAATGTTTAGAGTTCAAAATGCATATATGGGATGCCATTGTTGTTCTTTTGCCTTAGTACCCACTTGTGAACATAATTTGAATTTTAAAATGTCATTAGAACTAAGTTTGGGGGTGTGTTGTCTTGAATTTGGAAAGTTGCTCTTTAAAATGCCATTTGCTTGATTGTATACACTTGTGTCCCATTTTTGAAAAGCTAGTAAGGGCTTGAGACCGAGGTTCTTTGCCGGTCATGATTTTAATTCAAAAAAGGGTAAGTTTATTGTTATTCTTAGTCTTTGACCATTCTTTGCTTCATTTAAGCTTTAAAGGGGGGTCGCGAGCCATAAGTGATCAATTTTCTGCTTATATATTGCTTAGAGGGGGTCACGAGCCATGAGTGATCATAGGTTGTTGATTTTGTTGAAATGGAGTACGAGATATTTCTGTGATTGGAGTTTGATTTTGATATTTGTGCATCATTAAGATACATGCCATATAATTGTATACCATATTCAGGATTCATTTTTGAACTCGTGTGTCATAACATGCCTAGGATTGAAGTGTTTTGCAATCGTGCAATTCACTTAATCTTTATTTCATGATATACATGATTCTTGAATTCTAGGTAGACAGTTGCTATGATCATATTCTCTATATCATCCTGTTTGTTCTATTGGTCTTAAATGTTGAATATGTAGACATTCTTACTTAGGAATTGATATGATGTTATCCTAGGGTCTACTTGCCATGAAATTGCAAAGTCTTCTCGAATTTTAGGTTTATGAACGCACATTGCATCCTTTATGCACATCACATCCTATATTTGTCATTTTGATCCCATTTTCGCTTAAATGTTTCCAAAAGTGACTTTTCTGCTCTCTATTGTAATGACCCGATTATTTTCTTTCCTTTCCTTTTCTCAAATTTTTACGGATATTTTTTTTTTTTTTTTTTCATTGATCTTTTCCTTTCTGAGTTCGGTTTCTCGCCACTTAATGTCATCTTGAGTGCTCGGGGATGGTTTCCGAGACTCTTTTTCGTGGATTGACGACTTCCTTTGAGAACCGAGTCATTTTCACATTTTCACTTTTGTGACACTATTCACTTTTCGTCTTTTTCTCGTTTGTCACTTTGTTGGCACAATCTCACTTTTCATGTTCGGATTTGATTCCAGTTCTACATGCATCCACGATATTTAAATTTCATGCTATGTGTATTTTCACTTTTTGTAAAAAAACATGCTAAGTGTTTTTTTTCTGTAAAGGGTATAGATGCATAACCTTTTAGTAATATTCTAAACTTTTGGAATTTTTGTGTAATTACTGTAAAGTAATTATTTTTCGTCTTAGGGACCATTTTGTAATTCAATTTGGAAGATATTTTCAAAAATGACCTTTTTGCAATTTCTGAAAAAGTGTGACAAGTGTCATACTCTCATTGGTCCACTTGTTGACATTTGTGTGGAAACACTTTGAGGCCTTGGATGAGGACATATGGAGGGTGGAGATTTAATCACTTGTTGACCTAGGATAGGTACACTTGTTGGCTTAGATGGTTGACAAGTGTAGGCTTGGGATTAAGCCTACAATGGATGCTTGGATGAGTGACAAGTGTACGTTCCAAATTAAGTCTTACAATTAATTTTTGGGCCACTTTGGGATTATGGTTTTAAAAAAGGGTTTTTGTGCAATTGACCATAGATGTGTGTGTTGACCATGGTGTAGGATCACCTAGTGAGTGGAGGATTTCTAATTTCTCCACTCACACTTTTTCACATTATGTCATTAGCTTCCTTACCATAAACCCTAGCCTCCATGGATGGAGCTTAAAGCCTTAAGCTTTGACCTTGATTTTTGAGAGCCTTCTATTGATTTCCAAGCTTAATCTTGGGAATACTTTTTGTTTCCCTCATCCTTCTCTTCATAACCCTTGAAAAGTTTGTCATCTTGTGTTGATTTGCCTTGAATTCTAGAGAGACACTTCTCTAGTGAGGTAGGGGGTGTTATAATTTATTTTCTAAGTTGTTTTACTTGCTCTTGTATGAAATATAAGTTGTATGCATGACTTTTGTTAATTTGAGAAATTAGAGATTTATCATAACTTGCATATAACTCATTTTAGACTTGGTAAATGGTATGGCCATGAGTTGATCTTTGTTATATATTAAATTGGTAAGATTTAAATGAGTTTTCAAATTTAGAGATTTAATAAATTTAATTTGATTTAAATTCTAATTAATTGTATTTTATTTGTATTCCATTTTAGGCTTGATATATGATATGACTATGACTTAGTGTTTGCTATATATTAATTTGAGATCATCTGAACAACTTTTGAAATCTAGAGATTTAATTGATTTAAATTAATTAAATTCTATTTGATGATATCTTGTTCATCTTGCACTTTTGATTTGATATATGTAAAGACCATGATATGTTGCTTAACATATATTAATTTGAGATTATTTGAAATTGATTTGAAATCTAGAGAATTTAATCATCTTGTTTAATTAAATTCTATTTAATGACTCTATAGATTTATTTGTGTTTTAGAAGTTGTTTTTATATTCAAATCATGGATTTGGACTTGTTGTGTATTCATTTGGTTTTGTGTTGAGCATTTGATAACATTGTTGTTATATTTATATTCATAAGAATATGTTTTCTTTATGGGATATATTGTTGCCTTGTGTAATGAATTGCACACTTTGTAATTGACATTATGTATGCCATTTTAAAATTGAAACTCTAAAGCATGGATTGTGTGGTTTCAACCTACTTGTGCATGGAAGGTATTTTCATGCATTATATAAATTATGTATAAGTTGTGAACTTATTTGGTTTATTTTGAAGTCTTGGGACATTATTGTTACAAGTGACATGGATAGAGTTTGGTTCTAGTGCGGGAGGTATGAGTTCTCCCCAATTGAGATAGTGCGCACTTAGGGTGGTCTTCCCTGCGGGTTAATGCCCGGAATAATCGTTGAGGTCTCGGCAGAATTCCGAGCTTAGATGTCCAAGTCTTCCACTATTTGATTTCGCATTCAATTCCAAGTTGATAATCATGTTTAATTGTGACTTGTGGTTTTGGTTATTGGCGATTTTGATGTTGTTAAGTACATCTGAGCTTTATGATTTCAATGAATCATGGTAAATTTTGATGTTGTTAAGTACATCTATGCTAAATTGTTATATTTAGTTGTTTTTGCATTTTAGATTTCAAGTTGATAACTTTGAGAATCTATGTCTTGATGCATTGTATTAGAAGTTCTAATTATGCTAAATGGTTATATTTAGTTGTTCTCGTACCTTAGATTTCAAGTTGATAAATTTGGGAACCTTCATCTTGTTGCTTGTATAGCATGCTCTTATGTCGTTTGGAATTGCACGAAGGATGTGATATATGTTAGAAATGTTCTGAGGTAGCTTAGGATGCTCCCTGAGTTTAACCTTTGACATAGACGTTAGGTGGCATGACCCTTTTGAATTGTTTCAAGTCAATGTAAAAATTTCTAAAGAAATCGAGTCATGCATGCTCATTTTCTACGAGTAAACTTGTTTACTCACCCCGAAGTTACTGGGGGGCTGTTTTAGGTACGAAGATTTGGTTCATGATGTTCATTATTGCTTGAATGATTGTAGACTTGAAGGTTTTTAATTTTTGTACAGGTTGGCTTGGAATGCCACTTGTAGCCTTATATTACAAAATGTGTATATTTGATTCCATGTATGGAATGTGTACATGAGTACACTCTTTACAATGTATTTGACATGTAGGAGTTGAGGCCAGAGGTCAAAGACAAGTAATTTGTATCCTATGTAAATTTTTGACTTCATGGAATATTTTGAATATATTGAAAAATGTTGAGTTATTGCTTCACCATGTTTGCATCGGGTGTGGGAATTCCATATTGATTCTTTCGTAGGATCCCATTAGTCATGTATGAAGTGTAGCCAAAGGCCAAATGGTAATTTGAAACCATTTTATGATTTTGGTTTTCATTTTTTTTTATTTCAAGTTCATTTTTGCCTTTTTGGCCGTCGGGGGGTCGGTTTTGACTCGGCCATTTCCGGGAGCCGCGGATCATTCACGCGCATTCAAAAATACTATTTACGTTTGCGTACATGATTGTTTTCATGAAAAACCCTTTCGTTTGTGTTTTGAGCCTCCTATGGACTCATTTCACCCATTTGTTAAAAAATCTGACCTTAAGGGCATTTTGGGGATTTCTTTTGGGAAATAAATTCTGTTCTCAACTTTGTCACATATAAAATGTGATTTTAGGGGGAATTTTTTTTTCGTGTTTTTCCGAAAAATGTTATCTTGACCTCATAAACCGCGCTCCAAGTTCAATTTGCTGCTAAAAACACTGTTTCTGCATTTTTGGAGGTTCCAGCCCATGCCACTGCCGCATTTGGCGGGCTGCTGCAGCTTTTGGGCGGGTGCCCGCTGGTTTCTGCCGCAATTGGTGGGCCCCTGCAACTTTTGGGCAGGCGCCCGCGAGTACTGTTCATGCTCCAGACACTTTTCTTCAACGGGCCATATCTCACTTGTTTTAACTCCGAATTGGTCCGTTCTTGAGTCTAAATAGACCGCGTCGGAATAAGCTTTCCAATGGTACCAATTAGAGCTTCAGATTCCATTTGTAACTCAAGTTATTCATGTTTTAATAAGGTAGTGTCAGAATTTGGTTCTAACCGGAATAGGGTTTTCCTTCATTCGACTTCGGAACTTGATATCTTTTCCATCCGAATTCCGAATCAAGTGATTCTTGAGTCTAACTTCATTCATTTTTTATTTTATTTCCAATGGTATAAATTTTAGTTTCAGATTCTTCTCATAGCTTGAGATATCCTTATTTTAGTGGGAGGGTGCCAGTTTTGGTTTGAATCGAGATAGGGTTCATTTGGGATTTCACTTCTCTTCATGTGAAGTTACCAAATGATGTTTTTGGATGTTTTGATCTCACTTGACTTGTTGGAAGTCAAATTCCTTCCTCTTAGGGTAAAATGACCATTTTACCATTGGTCTTTCTTTTGGTAGGGTTTTGATACCCTTGTCTTCGTTTTGCTTTCGCTGAGTCTCAAATTTCCTCGAAGGGCCATTCTTGTGTCCTAGGGATAACGTACATCTCTATAGACTTATTTTTGTTTTGCTTCCGCATTTTGGATCCGCTTTGGGTCATCACAAGACACACTAGGTTGAAAAATCCAAGGTCGTCACATCTATGCTATCATTGTATTGTTTTACGTATCTGAGACTGCTTATTGTGCCATAATTTATTCTTATCTTGTTGAAGCATGTTGAATGATATTCTTGAAGCTATCTTGATTACTTCTTGCACAAGCATGTTCTTATATGTCTATTTTCTATTTCTACTTGACTCAGGCATGCTTTATGTTTTCTTATTAGATGCTTACCTCATTTTATACCCGTGTATAGAATTATACTTGTTGCTTTTGCAGATGTAGCGTAAGTAAAAGACTCTTGCCTGAAATAGAATAACCATAGCTACACAGTCTTCTGCATCTCCAGCGGAGGAATCATCTTCATCGTCTGAGGCTACTGCGTCTAAATCTGCATCTTTAGAGCTATCTTTCATGGAGGCCCAGGGCCCTATTATCAAGGCAGTGCCTACTCTCTATTTCTTTGGTAGGAAATTGGAGCTGGAATTCAGATTTGACAGAGAGCTATTTGTCGGGTTAGAGCAGACAACGTGGTCGTTTGCAAAGCTCACCTGTAGGGGCATAGATGCTATCATGACTCCGGCAGACACTATAGTTTATCCTCGGTTGGTTGCTCTATTTTTCCAGCACCTCCGGATGGATGAGGATGATTGCCAGCTGATGAACACGACTATAAATGGTCAGGATATTGATATTTCTATCCCTGCCATTGCTGCCGCCTGCACATGTCCCCATCTCTCACCAATGGTCGCTGACTCTAAGGATCCACTTTACCCGATCAGTCCAGCTTACCTTACTGAGATGATTATGGTTGCTACACTCTCTCCACAGGCTGCCTACTAAGGCAATATATTTGCAGACTGGGTTAATATTGATCCGCGCTACTGGTTCTTAGATTCTATGCTACATCTTAATGCCTTTCCTTCAAGCCATGGTACACAAAGGTGGGAGGGGATTCTGAAGGCCCTATACAGTTTGAGTCAAGGCTACTGGATATCTATTCCTGCTCTCATCTAGGAAATTATCCACAAGTACTCGGACAATCTGATCTTTAAGTACAATTCCAGAACTGATGCTTGGCCTTTACCATTTGGCCATCTTATCACACAGATATTGAACGAATGACCAGGGTTATTCCTTTGACCCAACTGAGATTGCAAAGCCTGCAGAGTAGAGAGAGAAGAGGGTGTATGATAAAAAATAGTGGACCAAGACCTATAATGCTTGCTTGAAGAATAGGAAGAATAGAGAGCAGAAAAGGCAGCGAGCTCAGCAGAGAATAGAGGAGGAGGCAGACGAGGGATCTCAGGGATCACCTTTTTCCTTCTGACCTAGATAGAGGTAACATACTACTACTTCCACGTCCACATCACAGCCAGGTCCACTTCTTCCTCCCCATCCATCTCAGCAGGCCGACCCCTCATATGTCCCTTCTACAGAGCAGATGCCCTAGGTCGACACTCGCTCCCGTCATGCCAATTCAGATTCCAGCCACAAAGCTGACCTAACTCAATTACATTCAGATTTTACTTCTTTCAGAGCTGACATGATGGGATAACACGATGATTTAGCGAGGCGGCATGATGACTTAGCTAGGCGATCTGACGATCTGGCGAGAGGTGTAGCGGATGCGAGGAAAGACATTTCAGATTTGCGGACAGACATTCAGACGTCTCTCAGTCGACATAGCCGGGAGATGTCAGATATGCTCCAGATCATTGCAGACATGCTTGCGCCAGATGCTTCCCCATGATTCCACCTTTCTCTCTCTATTACTTACTCCATGATCTGATACATTTTGATACATTGATATTTCTGGGATATTTTGCACTGTTTTGATGCTTTGCACTTATTTTAAATATTATTTTGCACTACATTAGATACATTGATTTTGGATATTGGTTTTGGATTTATTTAAATACATGGGTTTTTGGGATTTATGACATTATTGATTTCGGTTTTGGATATTCTGAGCTTTATATTGTTATATGCCATGGATTTATGCCCAGTTTTTCGTTCCATCTCTCATTGATATCATTGATGCATATGCTTTGACAGTTGCTAGTGTGACCATTTTCAGACAGGTTTTTGAAATCTAAGTTTGGGAATGCGCTTTCCAATGTTAAGCTTCCATTGCCGGGTCATATTTGTGACACCCTTATGGTATACTATTTCCATTATTTGTTGCCATTTTTGTACATTGAGGACAATGCACAAATTAATTTTGGGGGTGTGTTAACATTTTTTAACATGTCGCACTTATTTTCTATGCATGTGGTATAATTTGAGAGTTTTAGCTATGATTTTGATCTTTTGAGGGTTATGATACTTAGAATTAAAATTTTATTGACTTGAGAGTCTAATACTCCTTGTATGCATTGTGAATGCCATCTAGTAGTAAATTTTTCGAAAGATTGATATCTTACTGGCATTTGTGGTCTACATCATCTTGATCTTGTGATTGTTTTGAGATTTACGATAGGATTTTACACTAGCATAGGCACACACTAGCACTTATTTGTGGGGTACATGCTTTGTTGATTATTAATTTGGTTATATCCCAATTGAGCTAGTAGTGCTTTGGAAGCTTTCATTCTTGATAAAGGTGGACAACAAACCCTTTTCACTAAGTAGCCAGGATTCTAGCCTCATCAAGTATTGAATTTCTCGCGTCAAAAGGTGGAGGGCCCAAACTCTAGGTTAAAAAAAAAAAAAAAAAAAAAAAAAAAAAAAGAAGAAAAAAAAAGAAAAAAAAAAGTGAGGATTTCTTACCAAAGGTGAGGAGTAAGAAATGATTAGATGATGATTGTTTTGATTTGTAACCTAGTTGATTTGAGCTTGTAAGTTCTTAGGGGTGTCTCTACACCTAATGCCCTAAAGCGGTCTGGTTTGGGAGTCATTGATCTAACGCTCGCTTCATGAATTTTCTGGAAAGCTTAAGAGATCACTACATTGCACCATGCTTCTATCTTTGATCATTAAAAAATAAATAAATAAAAAAAAAATCGAGTGGAAAGAATAACTGCACCTAGTTGAATGAAACTTTAATAAAAAGTTCACTCTTTGTCTTGATGATTGGTACTAGATTTGTGTGCTAGCTTGACGCCAGTTGTGACCATTTCATTAGTTGGTTAAGATAACAACATATTTGATACCGGTTCACTTAAAAAGGATTTTAGAGTTGTTTTGATTTACATAATCATTCTCTTGATGTGTGGAGGACCATATTTGCTTGCATATTGTCAAAATTTTAGAGAGTTGCTTAGAGATGGTGGAAAAATTAGATACTTGAGGTAGTTTTCTCCCAATGCTTGTTTTATATATTAGTGCCTCTTTAGTGAGAAAAAGTTTAATGTTTGTGGGTATCATTTCAGGAAACCCTCACAGGACTTCACTCGTCCACTAGGGGTAACCTAGGGGTTTAAAAGGCTTGTTGCATACGCTAAATACAATCGTGTTCCCTACGAAAGTGGCGTTATCCTTTCATTGCTTTCTAGTTTATAGTTATATAGTTGTTTATTTCTATCTTTTCTTTGTAGTTCATTGCTAGGGACTAGCAATATCTAAATTTGGAGATGTGATAAGTGCTCAAATGTGATGCATTTTAGCACCTAAGTTAGGGTGTTTTAGTCCATTCATCTATCTAACTTTCTCGTTGTAGTTCTAATTTGTGTTTTTGTCTATTTCAGGTTAATAAGGTTCAAACATGCTAAAAAGAGCCTATTAACTTATTTTTGGAGTTAAGGAGAAAATCTAAAAAAAGTCAGAAAAACTGCACTGGATGGTCTTCGATCGATCAAAGGATGTCCTGATCGATCGAAGATCTCTTGGATCGATCGAAATGAAGGCGGTGCCAGTTCAGTGGATAAGGTCTCCAGTTGTCAAAAATATCTTTGCCACGTCATCTTTGATCGATCGAAGTAAGCTTCGATCCATTGACGCCAACTTTGATCGATCAAAGCCCTTGTTAGCAGTGAGCTGTTTAATTCTCAAGCGCGCCTGAACTCCACCAACTTTTGTAACTGCGATATTGTACCAATCAAAGGCCTATTTTTGACTTGTTGCCTACTCCAAGAGGCTTGTATTTAATTAAAATTGAACCAATTGTATAGGGTTCCAAGATTTTTGTTACATTAGTCATTCCAACTTTTGTTATAGCTTTTAGATAATATTCTCTCTCTAGATTAGGGTTTTTGGAGCAAAGCAAAGAGAAAGAAGATGATGCCAACATTGAAGAAAGCCTTTGAGGGTTGGATGACAATAACTATGAGTGGCTAGATCCTTCTCTTGGGGTTAGAGATAGCCTCTAGGCTTGCTTCTTAAACCTAGTATTTTGTGATTTTTGGGGATTTATGTTGTAAATAATGTTTTGACCATGATTATATATAAATCTTGAGTTCTACATGATTTGTATGAATTAATTTTTTCAATTGATCTTTTATTTTTATTCATATGTCTATGTATGTTAGAATGAATGGTTATGTGCTTACACTAGATTTTATGAGTTTAATGCATGTCTATGTGTGCTGGAATTGTAAATCTAGTGATGGTCAAGGTATGGTGCTTAATTGATTACTCTTGTGGTTTGTTTGATGGATTATGTTTATTTCTTGATGAATTGTGCTACCTCCTTAGATTAATTAGTTTAATTTTCTTGTCATTGGTATAGTTGTAGTATAGTTGCTTTAAATTCCTAGATAGGTGGACAATCTATTTTTGTTGTTTGATGATCCATACTTATGAGTGCAAGTAGTACATTTCTCTAGATTTTTGTGTGTGTATTAATTGTGGGTTTATTGAATGGTTAATGACTTAATTTGATAGGTTGTGCTATTCACTAGATTGATTAGACAATTTATGCTTAATTTGCCATCCATGCTTAGTATTTCAATTAATGGCACACACACACTTGTTTTATAATATGAAATCCCTCTAAATTGACAAATGTTAAATGTTTAGTGAAGTAAAGCCTAGTGGTGAACTCTATGCCCTAAGATTTCTCTCTCATTCTCTATACTTTAATCTTTAGATTGCTCTTAATTTGCATGTTTTTAATTGAACCATTAGCTTAATTCAACCAACCAAACCTCTCTTTAATCATTCGACTTACTAACTCGAATTCAATTCCGTAGTACCTTGCAAATCCTTTGGGATGATCCTTACTCACTATTGCTACGTTAGTAGTAGTAGTAGTGGTTTTTATAAATTTAAATTTAACCAAAAAGGCTTTCCTTGAATCACTCACTCACACATTTTGGCATGAGCAAGCGACACTCGTTCATGTAGTTAGTTTTGAGGAGACAGTAAGATGTTTAGCATGGCATTGCTGCATAGGGAGTGTTGAACGTGAGGTATACTCTCGCACTATGTTTGTATCATCTTAGGGATGCTTAAGAGGTGATCGTTGGATGGTAGCCTTTTAATTTAGTGGGATGAGAGGTTCAAGTTATCATTTAGGATGAGTTGTAATAGAGGTGTTATGGCTTACTCTTGATCTCTGTAGAAGGATTGCTGGTAGATTAAACAACACTTCTCAAATGCTTTGACCTTTCAAAGTGTGATCATTTCACTTCTGTTCTTTAAGATCTGAATTTGATATAGAATAAGTAGATCTACTTTTTTTGATCATCGTAGATGCAATATTCAATGAACTTTGATCACGATCAGAATTTGAACAACACTTTAAACTCACTCTTATGTTTATGTGTGTGTTCTAGAAAGAAAGACAGAAAAATCAACTTTGATTTTCTACAAAAATATCTCTCTAATAGGCTTTTAAGAAATCTGAAGTTGTAGTGCTAAAGCCGTATCAACCTAGATGAATATCAAGGTTTATATAGAATATTCAAAGACCTAGACATGCATAAGAAAAAGGTAATTTTCGTGCATAGGAATTTTGGTAGTAGTCTAAACCAAGTAGGAAGAAGAAACAGAACAAGAAACTAAGTTTACCAAATTCTGCTGAAGACCTTAAACGGTTCAAGAATGGTTGAACCAGTTCAAGATAACCAGTTAAAAATCGAAGGAAATTGAATGATTCTTGAACTGGTTCCAAGTTCCAAAGAGCTTGAACTGGTTCTGGCCATTCTTGAACAATGAAGGCCTGACACTTAGAAAAATATTGTGTTGGTAAGTTTGAAAATATACCAAGTATAAAAAGTGTCCTAACTTTCTAAGATCTCTTCCTAAAGTGTTGTTCATTCCTTTTTTGATGATCTTAGTATATCAATCTTGAATAACTTTCCAATTCCACAGCGGATCTCGATCTTGATATGGTAACTTGCAATTACAACTCGATCGGACTTGTTTTGACATCAAAATTTGCCAATTACAAAAAAATATATATCTTACATACTTCACTAAGTGGGTAGAAGCAGAGGCGTACGTAAGAGTAACCAATGTATAAGTCCAAAAGTTCATCTGGAACAACCTGATATGTAGATTCACAATCTTATGCTCAATTATCATGGTCAATGAAAAAAAATTGGACAATCAGCACACCAAATAGTTCTTCGATAAGTACGAGATCTACTAAAAGTTGTTGTGAGTGTACCATCCCCAGGGAAATGGGCAAGTGGAAATAATTAACAGGATAATTTTCGCCTGTATCAAGAAGCTGCTCGAGGAGAAGAAGGGCAAATTGCTGGACGAACTACCTAACATCCTTTGTGTATACCGTACCACCCCGAGACGTCCCACAGGAACCGAAGCGGTAATACCCACTGAAGTGATCGGCCTAACCATTCGAAACTTGGCATGGGGGCAGGAAACGAATAAATAGTTGTTAAAGCACAATTTGGATCTCTTAGAAGAAAAAAGAGAAGCAGCAACAATTAGGTTAGCCACTTATCAACAGAAATTGATGAATAACTATAACAAAAAAGTCAGACAAGAAGCTTCAATCCAGGTGATCTCATACTAGTGAAGGCAGATGGGCACATGCAGAAATTGGAGCTAAACTGGAAAAGGGCCATTTCAAGTTTCAAATGTAATTGGAAAGGGGCTTACAGGCTCCAATTCCCGAATGGAGCCGAAATAGACAAACCCTGTAATGCAATGCATTTCCAAAGGTACTATCAATAAGACGATGTCATTTGTACCTTTTACGGCCATATGGTCCCTCTCAATAAAGAAGGTATTTTTCTTTTAAGTCAAGTTATGTCCCACGTGAAATAAAAAAATAAATTATTTTATGTTAATTAAGTATGGCCCATTGATTATAAAATTGCCAAGGAGAGCCCACTGATAATGGTAGGCTGTTATCAGTTGACACTCCTTGCAATCCCTTTTTAGCTCAAATATGGAAACAAGGCCCAGACCCAAAAAAAAAAAAAATTGGCCAAGTCCAAAAAAAACTGAACGGTTCCAAGTGCCAATCGCAGCAAAAGGGTAAGGTCCGAAGAGCCGAACGCCAAGTCAAATCTTTACAAAATTTGCCTAAGTCCAAAAAGCCAAACAACTCCAACTGTTGATCGCAACAAAAGGTGAAGACCCGAAGAATCGAATGTCATATCACATCTTTGCAAAAGTTTGGCTAAGTCTAAAAAAGCTGAACGGCCCCAAGCGCCAATCGCAACAAAAGGAAAGGCCCGAAGAACCGAACACCATATCAAATCTTTGCAAAAAATTTCACGAAGTCAAAAAAAGCCGAATGGCACCTGTTGACCTTAAGGACTCCATCCAAGGTTAATCTAGAGGTTTTGATGATAATAAGCCATTAATGGTGTTCAAGGACTAATGTTTACATTGAGTGTTATATATATTATTCACATTCAAAGAATGACCTCAATGAAGCTATAAAGATCATTCCAAGTATTCCATTATTTAAGATCACATCAAGGAAAACAATGGATACAAAGAAGACATTAAGTTGCAAAGAACTAAATGCAAAGTCCATCCAAAGATAGCTTGGACTATAATGAGCAAGAAAGCAATTCAAATAAAGGAAGAAAACAAGACTACCTCAAAGCCCAAGGACAAAGCTTGAAGAAAAGGGTAGATAGAATGGTGAATGTTTATGATTCAATTTCAAATTATTCATGAATCCATTTGAAGCTCATCTCTATACGATCATGCATATCATATCATCATTTATATGTTCCTATATTTATTGGCAATAGACTATGCACTTCATTCATATATAATTGACATGGAATCTTTTCTAAATAATGAGTTAGTTCAAGCTTGCATAAGTTTTAAAAGAACTCATCACTTGTGCTAAAAATGCTAAGACCATGCACATCAATCACATGATTCATATTGGCCAACAATTAAGTCATATGAAGCCTTCATTACCATGAGCTGGTAACGGACATTAGGACCCTAGAATGTGCGTCATAAAAAACTGTATTTTTGGCTATGTGTGAAAAATGGAATTTTGAAATAATGATTATTTCAAAATAATTTTTCCCGGTAATAAATTCTTATACTTCAAATAGCCTAAACTGATTTTATTAGAATTATGACCAAGTCTACATTGGTTTACATAATGATTCATTTTTACCAAAACTGTCGGAAATCCAAATTTGTACTAAAACTGAATTTCTACATTTTGATTTAGTTGGATTTTAATTTTCTTATATTTTTTATTGAATCCAAATGGGGGGTACTTCCTTATTTACCTTGTAGAGTTAAAGTAAATGGACATATAAATACTGTAAAGATATTTACTTAAATATTGCAGATGTCCTGTAGAAAAACTGTGTAATCTGTTGACTTAGAACAAATTTCTGAAGTAGCAGTTTTTCTGAAACAGTTCATTTCGGCAGACTGAATTGAATAGGTAATTGATATCGGGCGATCGGTATCTCATGGATTTTGGGCAGTAACCATACTAAGTTGAAACTCACAACCGGCAGACCGAAATATTATTTTGGTTGACTGAAATATTATTTTGGTTAACCGAAATAGGGCATTGGACAGACCTTAAGTTGTTTCGGTCAACCAATGTAAGTCCTGATCTGATTTAAACAGCTACTTTGCCTTGAACCCCTTGCACAACAGCTATATTTTTGAATAGCTGCATCAGAACTCTATAAATAGAGCTGGGGACTTCGGGATTTTGTGTTGTTACCATAAAGAAACATCATATAGCTGTTGTGCAAGGGGTTCAAGGCAATATTTGTGAGCTAATATTTGCATATCAAAAATATATACTTCCCAATCCACTAGTACACCTTCTTACGGGATTTTGATTTGCCTTGACTAATATATACTTTAGTTGTGAGCTAATATTTGCATATCAGTCTTTAAGAGATATATTTGTATGCAACAAATCTGATCTTCAAATTTGTAAGAGGTAGTGTGGCCCACGGAAGAAGAAGCAAGCTAGCTTCAATTTGTAAGGGTTGGTGTGATGAAGGTTGTTCTCTTAGCAAGGTGAAGCAAGGAGTTACTTCATGTAAGAGTTTGTTCTCT